TGAATTCACAGAATTGTGCCTTAGGGAATCTATTGTGTGGGAGGTCTGTTTGTGGCAGAGGGCCTCTGGTTAGTAATTTCTAACTGTACCACTCTGTAGTCAGCGTGTATTTGGAGATCTGTTGTCTGTCTGTGACTGAGATTGTGGCAAACTTGTGTGAATGTTCCATTTATTTGATAAGAACTTGGATTTTCTATAGGTTAAAGAGCCTCTTATTAGCTACTTACATCTTCATTTTTTAAATGCTTTATTAAAACAGTTGTGTACATTCGTGGAGCAGCAGTCCTGAAGCTGGCTCTCGCAGGTGCTCCTAAAGACGTTCAGTTAAAGGCTGAGCTCACTCTTAATGCTGTTCCCTCTTATTCCTTGGTTTTAGATACTGTTGGTTCGCTGCCACAGAAATGAAGGACTTGGTACCCATCACCACACACACTTCCCTCTCCTCATTCTCCTGTAGTGCTATACTTCTTAGATCCATTCTCGATGGTGGCTTCTTAGTGACCGTAGCGTCACAACTGAAGCATAGACATGGCATGAGGTTCTTTTCTTGTGCAGCTTTTTCTTTCGCCTTAGAAAAAGAGAATTGTTTCTCCTCTTCTTTCTCCCCTACACTTCCTCTTTTTCACCTTCTGTGAGTTAATTATTAATCCTTTCCCAAAGCTTCCAGTGCATCTGTGACTCCTGTCACAGACAGACAAGCACATGGGGTCATTCTGGGAGTCCGTTTTCTTCTTGGCAATGGCCCTCCTCGAACCCCAGCCTTCCTGCTACAGCTGGCCTGCTGCCCACAGGGCCATGTGCAGGCCTCTCCCTGCCTGTCCCAGGAGACTTTGGTTTTCTGTTTCTCTGTTTACTCCCAGAGCACTCCATCTACCAGCTTCTTCCAAAAGGGTTCAGGGGATGTTAAAGTTTTTGAGCTTTTAAAGAATCTATTCCCAACTTGAGCAGTGCTCTGATTGGGTAGGAATTCTTGGTGGGAGAGAATTTTCTCACAGGACTGTTAAAGCACTGCTTTATCCATCACCTTCTAGCTTCCATTACTGCTGGGTAACACCCTAGGCCATGAGAGCTTCTGATTCTTTGTAGGTGACTTGGTTTGTGTGCACACACACGTGTGTGCACTAGGTATTGGGACCAAACCCAGGGCCCTGAGCATTGCAGCAAGCATGCTGCCATCAAGCTGCAGCTCCAGGCCTTGGGCACTGTTTTTAGACATTCCTCCTCTTGCCAGTGCTCTGAAATGTCACCATAATGTGCTCTGCTGAGGCCTCATCACCATAATGTGCTCCCTACTCAATCTGAAGACTTCTGTCATCTCTGGGAATATGGTGTGTGTGCACAGGTATGTGCATGTTTACATGAGTGTTTGTTGTCTCTGCCTCTCAACAGGAGTAATTCTCATGTTTTACTGTCTGTTTTCTGTGTCTTCACTTGTGGTTCTTTAAGTTTAGTCTTCTGTATTAATCAGCATTTGCTACAATGATGCTCAGTAACAAGCAACTCCAAAATTCCAATGATACACAATGAACTTGTTTTGTTTTCCACTTCTGGGTCTGAGGTGGGGAGGTTTATATATCCTCTGCATGCCCCTTCATTCTCAGAGGTCCTCCCAGGATCTGCTGTTCTCAGGATGCCGGCCAAAACACAGAGGCCAGCTTCTTCCACACAACCATGTGCGTGGCACGTGCCCTCTGGTAGCAACAGCAGTGAGGCAGGATGAGATACTGTAGCAGGAGCCACAGGGATGTCACGTTAGGGGACTGGGAATGGGAACAGCATCAGCCAGCCTCCCCCGAGGTTTTTGCTCTGCAAAGCCGCATGTTCCATCTCTGAGAACCCATTTTTGCCCTTGAGTGGCTCTCGTCTACACCTCCTGCTCATTTCATGGGTATGTCAAGTGCAAGGACAATGGTGAGAGCGGAGACCTAGGTTCTGCTGAGTTTCTCCCAGCCCTGGCTAGCTGTTTAGGGTTGTTTTTCATGTTGGGGCTTACACAGAAGCTGATGGCCCTGCAAACTTGTGTGCTCAGACAGGGCTTCACAAGCACAGCTGGCTTCACTGTGGCCTGATAAGTGGGTTTCTGGTCACTCTCTTGGAGGTACCCCGACTCTCTCAGTGGCTACAGGCCTTTACACTTGGGCTGACTATTTTCCCTGTGCTTCGAAAGGGGAGGTAGAATAAGCCAGACTTCAGAACAGGAGAAAGGGCTGGGGACTTGGGGAGTTCACTTACTTTTGTTTTCCTAGTTCAAACAACAGAAGTTTATTTTCTCATAGTTCTGGAGGTAAGAGGTCTAAAGGCAAGGTGTCAGGATTGGTCTGTCTTCATCAGTTGGGCTTCTATAACAAATGCCACATACTGGGTAGCATATTAACAAACTATTTCTCACAGTTCTGGAGGCTGGAAGTCCAAGATCCAGGTCCTGCCAGACACGGTGTCTGGGAAGGGCCTGCTTCCTGGTTCCTTTTGCTAAAGGCACTAATCCCATTCATGAGGGCTGTACCCTTTGTCATCCAATCACTTCCCAAAGTGATTGATACCATCTGTTGGAAGGGAGAATGCAGCATATGAATCTGTGGGGGGGGGGTAGGACACAGATGTTCAGCCTGCAGCAGGGTTCTTTTTGAGGGCTGTGAGGGAACCACTGCTCCAGGAGCTCTTCTTGGTCATCTATCTTCACATCACCTGCCTTCCCAAAGTTCTCTGTGTCAAAATTTCTTTTTCTTTTTTTTTTTCAATCTTAACCAGTTTGTGGGGACAGTGCTGTGGTTTGAACACAGGATCCTCTTTTTTAAATGATTTTTTATTACAATATATTCATTATACAGGGGAGGGATTCATAGTGACAATTCTGATTAGACTTATGGACATTATTTACATTGCCCCCATTGTCTCCCCCTCAACTCCCTCCCCACCCCACTTAAAGCAATTACAAGAGGTTTCTTAGTTCTGTTTCATATAGGTATATGAAGTCCATCTGCCATATACCATCACCGACCCCCTCCCACTACTACCCTCCCCCCCACACACAATGCACCTATTTTATAGTCCTGGTTTTTGTTATTAATATTTAAGTTGATGTTCAAAGGAGTTTCTCAATGTATGCCCACTGTAAGTATACTTTACTTTGGTCCATTCAGCCCCTTTTATTACTCTACCTTACCCCTTTATCTCCCACCCTCCCCTTTCAACAGCTTTCAATACACATCCTTATATCCTCTACTTTCACGTATTATGTTATGCAATATTACTGATGCTCTGTCATTTTCTTTTCCTTTCCCTCTTTCCCCGAGTTCCATAGAGTAGTTCCACTGTAACAAACATGTTTTACAACTCAGTTTGTATATGATTATGCTTGTTTTTGTGTATATGTTTATCTTTGGATCGATCTTCCATGTTTGAGAGAACACATGTGGCTTTTATGTTTCTGGTCCTGGCTTACTTCACTTAACAGGATGTCCTCCAATTGTATCCATGTACCTTCAAACCACATGTCATTATTCCTTATGACTGAGTAATACTCCATTGTGTATATATACCACAATATCTTGATCCATTTATCAGCTGTAGGGTACCTTGAACCTAGAGTCTTGTTCATGCTAAGCACATGCTCCACCACTGAGCTATACCCCCAGCCCCTAACTTCCCAAGTAGAGGAGATTACAGGCTTACTGCGAACTACCACGCCTGACTTGTTCTTTGAGATAGAGTCTCATTAACTCCCAACCCTCTCGTGACTTAGAACCCAGCTTCCTGACTTTGTGTGTGTGTGTGTGTGTGTGTGGTAGTGGGGTTTGAACTCAGGACTTCACAAGCTTGCTAGGCAGATGCTCTACCACTTGAGCCATGCCTCCAGCCCTCTGACCATTTTTAAGTGCAGTTTGGTAGTGCTGAGTCTATTGACAATGTTGTGAAACAGACTTCCATGCAAACCTGAAATCCGTCCCCCACTGCAGCCCCTGTAACCACTGTTCCAATGAGTTGGATTCTATGGACTTTGCGCAACAAAGTTACTATAGTGTAACTTTTAGTGACTTCTTATTCAACTGAGAGCAGTGTCTTAGGGTTCACCCATGTTGCAGCATGTGTCTGAATTTCCTTCTGTAAGACTGAGTAATGTTCTATTGTATGGGTGGACCACATGTCGCTTATCCTTCCTTTGTGCAGTTGGTCTGCTTCTGTGCTTTGACCTGCTAATGCTGCTATGAACATGGGTGCGCACACAACTTTCCAAGATCCTGCTGTCAGTTCTTTTGGGTATGTACCCAGAAGTGGAATTGCTGGGTCATATGGTAATTCGATGATTTTTTTTTTTTAAAAGGGGGAACTTCATTTGGAGTTTGTCTCATACCCTGTTTTTATTTATTTATTTTGGCAGTACTGGGATTTGAACTCAGGGTCTCATGCTTGTTAGGCAGGCACTTTACTACTAGAGTCACTCCCCCAGACCATCCCCTATTTTTAGCATGGCACCCCTCTCTCCTTCCAGAAGGAAGCTGGATGCCCCCCTCCCCCAAAGCTATGCAGAGTCTGGAGGGACTTTCACAGACAGCCCACCTGAAAATTCCACCTAGGCAGGGGCATCTTGCAGCCACTTCTTATGACCTTCCCCTACAAGCTCCCCACTGGCCTTCTTTCTGGCCGCCATCTTCCAGTCTTCTGCTTGCCTCTCGCTGACGGTCCTCCTACTGGCACCTATTCTTTTGTTCCTATGGAATCATGAATGTTATTTTCCCCTCTAAATCTCTCTATGGCCATTTTATTTCTGTCGGTGTTGGGGATGAACCCAACCTTTAAGATCATTTTGGAGAGGACTTGTGGAGGAGTCTTGCGTGGGGCTGATCTTGGAGTACCAACTCTTAAGGCCAGCACTGGAGCAGAAGGGGCTACGGTGCGAAGGCGCGGTCTGCGGGCTGGGGGCTAGCACTGGGGCCGGGCGAGTCGCCACGTGGGGTGCAGAGGGCCAGGGAAGGGGTGGCGACCCTGATCTGTCCCTGCAGGTGTGCGAGCCGCCGGAGCGCAGGCGCTCAGGCCGGCACTGGAGCTTCAGCATCGATGAGCGCCGGCGGCTAGCCATGCTGGGCGCCCGGGAAAGGCAGGACGCAGATGGGACCCCTTCCCAGAGCAGGGTGCGCAGGGGGCCAGGGCTACGCACGTCCCTCCTCCCCAGGCCGTCCCGTCCCGTCCTGAGCTCCGCCCTTGTCCCGCCCCCTCCCTGCGTGGCCCCTGACGCCGCCGTCGCCCGCAGGACATCACGCAAATCGTGGCTGAGCTGGTGTCTGAGGACGTGGACAAGGACGTGCTCCTCCCCCACCTTCCGAGATCCGCCGCGACTTCCACGAGTTCCACCACCTTCCACCGCTTCCTGGCCCGGGGCGCGCCCTTATGGCAGAACTCGACCTTTGAGACCCAGACCTCGAGGTCACCCCCTTCCTAAGAGCCTGGCTCAGCCCAGTGTCTGTGGTCCAGCTCCTTTCCTTGGGTATTTTGTGGCGGGGGTCCCCTTCATGCCCTCTTTGTGCCCTGTCCGGGGGTCACGATCCACCCAGAGAAGAGAAAACAGACCTGGCCCATCTCAGGGCTTTCTGAGATGGTACTGAGTGGGTGTGGGAGCTGTCTAGAGAGGGTTTCCCTGATCCACACAACCTGAGGAGGCCTCTGGAAGAAAGGGGGCAGAGCTGGAAGGAAGGGTTGGCTTTGCTCTGCACTCCCAGGAGAAAGCCCTGGGGCCATCTGAACTGCCCACCCACACCATGCTTGGACATCCTGGTGACAAGCACCTCTGGGTGCCTGGGAGGGCAGGACTCCCACACAGTCTCTGGTTCATGACCTTGCTCCTTTGCTGGCCCCACACGGGGCCTGGGCTGATAGGTAGGGCACTTGCCTGAAGGAGGCATAGTAAGCCCTACCCTGGCCAGAGGTCCTCCCCAGTGCGGGGTGTTCCACATCATGAACTGCCTGGGGAGCCCTGAGTCTTGGGGTCTTGCTTGTGGCTATGGTGGGGGCAGCTGGAGCCAAGAGATCCAGCCAGGTGCTAGAGAGAGGCTTCCTGGAGCAGGGGGTACCTCTCCAGGACAGTGAACTTGGAAGTGAGCAAGGGCTGAGAAGCACTGTGACTGTACACAGAAGGTCTGGGGTAGCTGAGTTGCTGTCTGGAGAAGTGGCCACCAGACTCTAGACCTGAAACTGTGACTACCTTTGCCTCCCAAAAGAGAGGCAGGTCTGTTGAGATGCAGACATGGTCATGCTGGAGACTGGTCCTACCCTGACTTGACTCTCTGCTCTGCCTTCCTTCTCACTAACAAGAGTTAGTGAAAGTCTTTCCTCCAGGAAGTCTGCCTAGATCACCCAATGGGGCACCCCTTCTAGTTCTCTCAGAAGTCCCCTGAATGTAATTTTTGTCCACTCTAGGGGTCCTCTGCATTTGTCAGGATACCCAGGGTAGGAGGCAGTCACCCTGATGGTGGGTTGGGTGCTCTGGGCCAAGCCCCATCCTGGGCAGGAAGATGCACAGTGCAATGGGAGGTAAAGACCATGGTCACCATAGAAGTGACGTACCTTGTGGTAGTCGATCTAGATGGCTTTAAAGGACTTGATTATTTTCACTCTTGGCTGGGGGTTGATTGTGCTCATCTGGTCAATTCTCCTGGTCTTGACTGAGTGTCTCCTGAGGCTGCAGTCAGAAGGTGGGATGATGGGATGGCCAGCCCTGGTCTCTCCACAGGGCTTCCTGCAGGAACCTTCCCCATCACAGCAGCACAAGGCAAAGCCTTGGGGTGTTAGGGCTGAGGCCCAGAACTGGCCCCAGTTCACCTGCCTACTCAGCAGGACAAACTGCCTCTCTGCTGGAGCCCAGTGCTGGGACAGGGCAGTGTGGAGACAGTGTGGTTGCCATATTTGGACTGTGCATTAGTTTCCTATTGCTGCCATAACACATTGCCACAAGCTAGTGTTTTGTTTAAGTTTTAAAGTAACACAAATTCATTCATGAGTTCTAAGTCCACAGTGGGTTTCACTGAGCTACAACCAAGGTGTTGGCAAGTGCTGCCTGCCTCTGGAGGCCTGAGGAGGAGCCTTTCCCAGGGATACCTGCTGCAGTAGCTCCTTGGCTCTCTATCCTCACACCTCCTTTCCTCTTCTGCTTCTCCTACAGTTAGGGACCCTGTGACTGCACTGGGCTCATACAGATGGTCAGGGATAATCTCCAGTTTTATGGTCAGGTTGTTAAGTAACCTTGATTCTGTTTCCTTGCACACTGACAGGCTCCAGGATTAGACTTAGGTCTGTTGGGAAGTGGAGCCTGGTGCCTTCCATGTAGTGCTGCTTGCTTCCAGTGGGCACAGGCAGGTGTTGCTCGAGGTCCCCCAGTGTGCAGGACAGTGCTCCACAACAAGTGATCCAGCCCCCATGACTATAGTGCCCTCCTGGGAAACCCAGGAACAGAGGAAGGTCTGGGTAGGGAGGGAGCCCACGAGAGGGAGACCTACCTTGAGGTGAGTAGAGGTTCACAGCAGATGGGGGCTCATCCTAGGAAGAGAAGAAAGGTCTTGGGGAAGGGTTTCTGGACATCGGAGTCGAGGAGAGACTGGAGAAGGCGGCTTGCCAGTGGGAAGGATCCTGGAAACCTGGCATGGGGACCTGGCCAAAGTCCCCAGCATCATTGTGCTTAGGGCATGTCCCTAGCCACTGCATGTGGACACTTCAGCAAGACCACCATGCTTCTAGATTGCCTTCACTTCTTGGCCACCATGTCAGCCTCTGTCCTTCCCAGGACTTACGGGACATCCCTAGGCAGGTGAGTGAGTGGGGACCCCTCACCCCCGCTCAGGGCAGCGCCTGTGCCTGCAGACGCACACCCCAGTGGCAGAGCGTCTGCGCGCTCCCAGTGCAAGCCGTCCGCGGGCGCGGGCGCGCGCAGGATGGTTTCCGGGTGCAGGCTCGCCGAGACAGAGCTGCCTGCAGGGTCTTCTGGTTCCCCAACACCCTTCTCCGCTGGTGGCCTGCCCGGCTCTCACTGGGAGCAGAGGCCACTCCAGGCACCTGAAGCAGAAGGGACCTCGCGCGGCGACTGAGCCGGGAGCTGAGCCTGCGCTGCGCCTAGGGCCTGCCGGGGCACCTGGGAGATGTAGTTTGCGGCTTTGCCGAGTGTCCCCCACACAATGCCCACCACTGCCCCTTAAAGACTTCATTGGCTTTGCAACAGTACTTGCTCACGATTAAACAGTTCAACAAAGAACGTGTTGTTTTTTAAACTCTTCCATAGTTTGATCGCTGAAGTGTATTACAGTCATTTATAGGGCACATGAGATGAAAGGGCATATGTAAAATATGCAAGTGTAGAGCTACTATTCTTATTTAAAAATATCTAAGATAGCCGAATGCAGTGGCTCACACCTGTAATCCTAGCTACTCAGGAGGATCGTGGTTCAAAGCCAGCCTGTGTGTGAACACATAGTTCACAGAGACCCTATCAAAAATACCCAATACAAAAAAGGGCTGGTGGAGTGGCTCAAGGTTAAGGTCCTGAGTTCAAACCCCAGTACAAGAAAAAAAAATTCTAAGGTAGAAAAAAAACTGCTTTAGTCAGATTACTGCCTCTTCCCCCAAGTTTAAAAGATTCTCCTAGGATTATTCTTAGAAATTAGAGAGGATGGCTGCCACCTGTCCTTCAGCAGCTTGCTCCTGCCTGACTTCTGGCTGAGTGGTGAGGTCCTTTCCTAACTGGGCCTTCCCCATCTCCACCTATTTACATTCCACCCTATTTACACTACTTACCTATTTACACTCAATCCCAACCTCCGGCCCTGCACTGATGCGGTGCGGTGAATTCACCAATGAATCACATTTATCTCTTTATCTCTTTATTGGTTGGATTTAAGTTCTAAGTTTTTTAAGAACTTCATTTCTCATGTTCTTGTGTATCCGAAAGTGTTTTCCTGAGGCCTTTGTACCTGCATGAGAACCTGGGTGGGGAAAGGACCTTGGGGTACCCTTTCCTAAGGACTGTGTATCAGGAGCTTTGGATGCTGTTTGAGAAACAGAGGCCAGTTTTATTTTTTAATCTTTTCTGTGACATGCTTTCTCTGAAAAGTGTTTCTACAATCCTGAAGTTCAGTAACAGGCAAGACAGGTCTCAGTAAATTATGTTGCCCCAATTTTCTGGAACATGCTGTGGACTTCTCCCATGCAGGCTCTGTTGTTTCAGGGACTTTTCTGCAGCCTCTTTGAATACTTTTTATAATCCTCTGCTCCAGCACCAGGTGCCTTGTGCTGGACTTCCTTACTCATTCCTCACCACACAGCCTCAGGGATCCTTGTGAACAAAGATCAGCTCAGGTCACCAGAGCCTCTAAAGTCAAAGCCAAAATTCCTACTGCCCCACAAGGTCCTGCATGGAAATGTGGCCCTGCAGAGTGGCCTCTGTCTACCTGCATGGGGCCCTCCTCCACCTCCTTCCTGGATACACAGTGCCCCTTTAGCTGCCCCCTTTCCCTCACATTGCCTTGAAAGCACTTGACACCACCTGGTATTGTGTACTGTTTATCTCTCTCCTCCTGCTAGGTGGTACACTCCCCAGGGTGGAGCTTGGTGACCTTAACCCTTTGTGCCTACTGTGCTCTGTGGCATGAAGCAGACACTCAGAAAATAACAGTTGAATGAATCAATTCATTTTTTTCAATTGCTTTGTTTTCCCTGAAATGACACAAAAACTTTTCTTCCCTCAGTGATTTAATAATCTGCCTCTTGCTGTTTCTGACTTCTTCCAGCAAAGGTGTGATGTGACCCTTAACATATTCCTTGGCGCTTGACGTTTCCCCTCTGCTGTTTCGTCTGCCTGTTGAGTCTGTGTTACTAGGATCCTTGAAGGCAAAACATTCCTGTGGTGGCATCTGCCCTTTCAGCTGCATCTTTCTCCCTGCTGAGCTTTCACCTGCCCTGTGCCCTCCCTTCTTCTGGTGTTCCTGTGGAATTAAGAGACATGGCCACTGTGCCAGCATCCCTGATTTGCCCAAGTAGCTCTCCTGAATGTCTATGTGCTCTGCTACCAAATGGACAAATAATTCTCCTTCTTCTTGGCAGTACTGGGGTTTGAACTTGCTAGGCAGGCGCTTTACTGCTTGAGCCAAGCCTCTAGCCTAGATGAATTTTTAGTTCCTTTTGCCACTCACCTAAGATCTGCTTGCCTCTAAGTTAGGTTAAAGGCAGGTAATGTAGCCAGTCCGTCTTCTTTAGTCTGCAGTGGGGAAGGCAGAAGGAGGTGGGTGGGCTGTGGGCACTGGCTTGGTGCCTCTTCTGAGGTTACACTGAGTGCCACTCTGCTCTGAGGGCTGTGGCCTCAGCTCTGGCAGGCACTGGCTTGGAATTTGGACACCTTCTTCAGAAGTTGGCCCTGATGGTCTGTGCTGTGGATGTTATTTCTGACCCTCCCACCCCCACTCCAAAGAAAAGGATTATGTCCCTCTGCAGGCCTCTACAAAGCTTGGGACTGGAGATTTCTGGGAGGCAGTCCTGTCTCTGTCAAAGCCTGTCTGTCACTGGGATATAGAGGCAGAGGCGGACACTACAAGATATGGCAATTCTGGGCTCTCTGTCCTGACCACTGTCTGGGTATTGTTTGGTAGTTCTAACTTTTGGCCAGTTTGTTAGTATTAGTAAAAACAGATTTTTTTTATTTTTCTTTTATTATTCATATGTGCATACAAGGCTTGGTTCATTTCTCCCCCCTGCCCCCACCCCCTCCCTTACCACCCACTCCGCCCCCTCCCTCTCCCCCCCAATACCCAGCAGAAACTATTTTGCCCTTATTTCTAATTTTGTTGTAGAGAGAGTATAAGCAATAATAGGAAGGAACAAGGGTTTTTGCTGGTTGAGATAAGGATAGCTATACAGGGGATTGACTCACATTGATTTCCTGTGCATGTGTGTTACCTTCTAGGTTAATTCTTTTTGATCTAACCTTTTCTCTAGTACCTGTTCCTCTTTTCATATTGGCCTCAGTTGCTTTAAGGTGTCTGCTTTAGTTTCTCTGCGTTAAGGGCAACAAATGCTAGCTAGTTTTTTAGGTGTCTTACCTATCCTCACCCCTTCCTTGTGTGCTCTCGCTTTTATCATGTGCTCATAGTCCAATCCCCTTGTTGTGTTTGCCCTTGATCTAATGTCCACATATGAGGGAGAACATACGATTTTTGGTCTTTTGGGCCAGGCTAACCTCACTCAGAATGATGTTCTCCAATTCCATCCACTTACCAGCAAATGATAACATTTCGTTCTTCTTCATGGCTGCATAAAATTCCATTGTGTATAGATACCACATTTTCTTAATCCATTCGTCAGTGCTGGGGCATCTTGGCTGTTTCCATAACTTGGCTATTGTGAATAGTGCCGCAATAAACATGGATGTGCAGGTGCCTCTGGAGTAACAGTCTTTTAGGTATATCCCCAAGAGTGGTATTGCTGGATCAAATGGTAGATCGATGTCCAGCTTTTTAAGTAGCCTCCAAATTTTTTTCCAGAGTGGTTGTACTAGTCTACATTCCCACCAACAGTGTAAGAGGGTTCCTTTTTCCCCGCATCCTCGCCAACACCTGTTGTTGGTGGTGTTGCTGATGATGGCTATTCTAACAGGGGTGAGGTGGAATCCTAGTGTGGTTTTAATTTGCATTTCCTTTATTGCTAGAGATGGTAAGCATTTTTTCATGTGTTTTCTGGCCATTTGAATTTCTTCTTTTGAGAAAGTTCTGTTTAGTTCACGTGCCCATTTCTTTATTGGTTCATTAGTTTTGGGAGAATTTAATTTGTAAAAACAGATTTTTCTGTATAGGATGGGCCTATGGGGAGACCAGCCATTTTCCTTCCCACGTTTTGGGGAGACTGCTGTATATCTTCACCTGTTTTCCTGTACTCCTGCTTCTAACTCTTCCCATCAGACAATCCAATAGAAAGCAAGCCCTTTGAGATTCTGCACTCCTCTGCTCCCCTTGGCCAACTTGTCAGCAGGCTTGGGTAGCTCCAATTCCTGACCCCCATCTACTAAACAATGGCATTTCCCACTCCCTCTCAGCACATAGCACTGTGGCCTGGGCCCTCCTTGGGACCCTGCCTGGCTTTGACACAAGCACTGTGCTAATTTCCTGCTCAGATTGCCAGCATCCTGCAGGGACCATGTGTGCCCCGGGCCCTGACACCTGCCCAAACCCTGCACAGTGGGCTGGGGCTCTCTTCTGAGCTCCAGCTCCCTTGTGTTCTGCTTGATGCACAGGGATGCCCCTCTAGCTGGACAGGGTCTCCCTGAAGCTGTAGACCGTCACTGTCTTAAGCAAACAGAGCAGCATTAACAGGCAACCTGGAGCCCCCAAACACCTCTTCCTCACCTTTCTACATTATAGCTGGGATATGACTCTCTCCATCTGGGACCCCATCTCCAGTCCTCAACCCTGGGATGGGGGCAGGGGGGCATCTGGGCACTCCACTCTCCAAAGACCTTAAATGAGCACAGAAGCAAACACATCCTGAGAGGTGCCAAGAGGGAGAGGGAGGTGGCTGCCTTCATATGGAAGAACTGCATGCCCAGAGCTCTCAGCCCCGTTGGTTCCACTGGGGTCCACAGCCTGTGGAATCCCAGCTTCATCTGTGGGATCTGTGGGAGAGGGTCCTTTAGGCACAGCCCCTTCTCTTCTTTGGCCTTATCAGGCCACCATTCATGGAGACCTTGCCAGTTCAGGACCCTGCCCACACTGGGGGTGGAAGGCATGGCCAGGATGTCTAGGGATGACCATACAGCTGGGAGACAAGGGGCACAGATTATCTAGTGCTGGTAGAGGTTAGCTGGGAAGGGAGGTATGGGCAGGAGTCTTGAGGCCAGGGCTGGGCAGTTCACTTCAGGGCAGGCAGGGAACTCCGAGCAGACCCACCTGGGAAGGGGCTAGGGAATGCTGGGAGAAACACCCAAGGGGTGCAGGAAGGGCTAATAGCATGGAGGACCTGG